AAATATAAAGTAAACGATTACACATATAATCAATGGATAACTTACATGAATAAAGATATGCTAGTGCTGAATAGTCATGTATTATAGTCGTGTAATAAAACGCAATATTAACGTAAACAAGATGGCCGCTCCTACTGAGCCGGTCAGCGGTATCTAACTAGTGTCCAGGCCTTAGTGGCCGGTAGAGAACTCTTCATCCCCCCCAGTCCTGGAATYTCTGACTGGGCAGTCAGARTTACTGGACTCAGTTTCTAACCCAYGTGCCTGTCTCGGGTTCATARCGCYGTGGTGTCCTTCTTTCACGTRTAGGGCGTCTGKSTGGAGGTGCCTGGGTYGACGGGTTTTCTGGGGGACTGACGTCTGGTTGTTGTCCCTCGGTGGCTGGTGAWTGGGAGGGTGTGGGGACGATGGGTTGGGGAGCGTTTGGGGATGTGGCGCATGGTTCATCTTGTGGTAGCTCACTGGCTTCTTCATGCGGTCCCTTRTCTGTGGGTATCAGGATGTGCTCCTGCTCCTGGCTTCTTCCTAGGGACGGCAGCGGGAATGGTGTCTGCTGCGGGACTGTCGGGTGGACTGGAGTGTAAGCTCTCAGGAATCGACGATTGCGTAGTGTCAGCCGTCCCGATCCATCTACTTTCACTCTGTATTGGTCGTTCTTCAGGGACTCAACTACGAGGCCAGATCGGTCCCACTTAGTTGGGTTYGGGCCATGCTGGTTTTGRATGAAGACTCTGTCGCCAGGGGTTAGTTGGCGAAGTGGTCTCGAGTGGATTCTCAAGGACTCAGTTGTGCGGGACATCCTGGTGCGCAGGGCTTCCTCCTTTGCTATCCAAGCCTGACGCCATAGTGGTCGGACGTGGGGATTTGAGAACTTTTCTAGTCGACTTACGAAGGTAAATGAGTCTCGTAGTGGCCGACCAAAGATTATTTGTGCTGGCGATAAGTTGCAGTCACGGTCGGGCGTGTTTCGAAGCTGTAGGATTGCACGCAAGAAGCGGTCTTGGTCAAGGTTCCCGGTCGGGCCGGTGTTGGACATTAAAAGTCTCTTTGCTGCCTTAACTGCAACTTCTGCTCTCCCATTGGACTGGGGGAAGCTTACTGAGGACACGCGGTGTCGCACGTTCCAGGAGCGGAGGAACTTTTCAGTGTTACCTGCGGTGAACTCTGGGCCGCCATCACTCCCAAGTTCCTCTGGGACACCGAACGTAGCGAAGAATCTGCGTAAATGATGGACCAGGCCTGCTGATCCTCCTAGATCGGTGCCAGCCGTTGAGCGTAGGACCTCTACCCAACCTGAGAGGCGGTCTCCGACGACAAGGTAGTGGCAACCTCCGTGGTCGAAGAAGTCTGCAAAGATCGCTTCGAAGGGGGTGGATGGTGGTGGCGAAGGTAGAGGGGGTGTGGCCGCTTGTGACGGGGCATTGCGGTTGCAATCGGCACATCTGTCTCTGGTGTCCTGAATGTCCTTCGATAGCCCAGGCCAGTAGACGATGGCACGGGCACGCTGTTCCATCRTAGAGGMCCCTTGGTGGGCAGCATGGAGRTGCTGGAGGATCCCTTGGCGTAGGGAGGAGGGAATAATGACACGGTCGTTGTACAGCAGGACTCCGTCTTGGATATAGATGGATTCGCTGATTGGAGAGAGAATGGTTAAGGTAGGGTCTTTGCTGTCTATATTGCCGTTTTGCTCGAGGAGACGGAGAGCGTGGCAGAGGATTTCGTCTTTAGCTGTTTCCTGTGCTAGGAGGGACCACGAGATTGCACTGAGGCCTTGAGCGTCTTCGCGGATTGAACACATCAGCGCTGATTCTGCTAGGTCAGGCTCGCTTGGTCTCCCGAGTGTGTAGTGGTGCTCGGAGCTCGATGGTGAAGGGTGTCTTGAAGTGGCGTCGGCAGCGTGGTTGGTTTTCCCGGGTCTGTGGACAATCTCGAAGCGCCATGGTAGGGTGCGCTGCTTTAGTCGGAACAGGCGGGAGTTCGATATTTCGTCTAGAGTGCGGTCACCAAAGATTTTCACTAGTGGCTTATGGTCGGTTACTATCACCAGGTTGTCGCATCCTTGGGTGAAATATCGTGTTTGTTCAAGACCCCAAGCGACAGCAAGTGCCTCGCCTTCGACGGCTGCGTAACGTTGCTCCGCTGATGAAAGGAATCTTGAACCTGCTAACGTGATTTTCCATCCCCCTTGGCAGCAGTCTGGTATACCAGAGGGGCAGTTGCAATGCTGCTGGAGCAAGAAGTAGCCGATCCCGCGGTTGGACCAATCTGGCCGTAGGCAGGTGCGCCGTTGCATGTCAAAG